TAGCATTTTCATTCACTGGACAAAAACTGTCTTGCAAGAACTACACCTCACTCCATTACAGAATGTGAACCACAATAGCCCAGAGAAGCTATGGACTACAATATAGTGGTTCATTCCCAGATGATACATTTTTTCTGGAGTCCAGACAGACTACTGAGACCATTCACCTATCTCTAGCTCCAGAGATAAGGAGACTGGAGTGTGAGACTAACCATCCATTTCTACCTACTGCTGAGTTTAAAAATGTGTGGTGCTTTACCTCCACTCCCCTATACATCCTCCTGGTGTGCTGCTTAGGCAGAGAGACAACTACAAGTTTTATTTTCTGGAAGTCGCAGAAAAGAAGTGTTTATTACATGGGAGGAAAAAACAGAACAGAAAGAATACACCAAAAAAGACACAAGAACATTTAAAACTGTGCATCATATGAATGTGACAAAAAAAGGTAAAAAACTTGTGCAAAGATTTAACATTTTTCACCATGGTCTTTGTCAAACTGAAATACGCACCAATTAACATGTTGTGATGTGGAAAGTAGTTGCTCACACTAGCTGACAACAGGCACCGTTTTGAGTTTCAAAATCTGAAAATGAATTTTGTGACTTCCTGCTATATGACCCAATAAATAGTTACTTTCAAAACATGTAAGTAAGGTTTTAAAATAAATTTTAGACAATCTTCAGGATAAGTGCACAAATACATATATACCTAGAATGCACATTATGTACAAACACTTCTGGTATGGACAACTAACATCTAACACCTACCACCACCCTCCAACAGCTTCCAAATAAGAGTGCACACAGGGCATGTTCAAAGAAACAGGACTTGAAAGCTGACAGATGTCCAAAATAAAAGCCAGCAAAACTAAAATCACAGTAACACAAACTGAATTTAATACGATATTCTTTAAATAAATTGATGCCCATTTTCTTCAAATGCTTCGATGCATACCATGTAATGAGCAAGAGCTATAAATGAAATTAATAACTGCACAATTTAGTGAACTGTCTGTGTGCATAATTTCCACTAATATACATTCAATGTTAATTTTAATTGTTAAATGTTATGTTTATGATCCAGCTAAAAAATTTAACAAGCAGAGCCCCAGTGATTTATTAGTTTTCGCCATCAAACCAAAAGCTAAATACAAATTTCATGCAATCAGTATGTTTCTTGCATTCTAAAAAATCCTTAAAAAGTTGCATTTCTTTTAAAGATCTATTACCTTACATCACTTCAGGGCTCTCATCTCATAAGTGTGCATCTGCCATGCCATCATTACTGATCCTATGGAACTGAAGCATGACACTGAGATGGTATCACAGAATATTTTGTAGAAATTGGTTAGTGCATACAAAAGTTGAATGTGCGCACATACACAGAAAACAGATATTATAAGCCTACTTTTTCCCTAAAAGAAATAACTTACTATTGAGAGAAAAATCAATCCAAACGCACAACTTATGTTGTGATTAAGAAACATAGAAGCCAGGTTGTTATCATTATAGCTGCTGCAGCATTATGTCATATAATTGACTATGGAGCACAAAATCTTCTTGAGATACCAAAAGTACAATCAGCTAGTAACAAAATTCCACATCTTTTATGAAACTGAAAGGTTGATGCATTCACAACAGCTTGGTGCTGGTCCCTATCCCAAGCCAGATGAATCCAATCCACACAGTCAAACCCTAGTTCCCTAAGACCAACCTTAATATTCTCCCTTCTAGGCCTCATTCATCAGAATAATGCTCTCCCAACAGGCTTACCAGCCAAAATTTTGTACACATTTCTCATCACCTCCATACACAGAAATTTCACGTTCCCCAACCCAGTAAAATGTATTTTAAAACACATTTAAATTTACTTTTCAGAATTTTTTTTAAAAAGTTTGATAACAGTGAAAATTTTACAGTAAAATATTGTTAGCATGATATGTAACTCCCCCAAAAGCTGCAAGACCGCCACTTATTGGCTGTCCAGAACTGCATACTCAGTTAAGTCACAGGTGAAATTCATACCTGGAAACCAAATAAACTGTGGTGGCAATGTGGTAACTCACAAAGATTAATACTGGAGATGGGGACAACATGACGATGTACCTTAGGGAGGCAGGTTATGAGGATGGGATGCGGATGAAAATTATTAAGAATTGTGTCCAATGGGAACAGTTACAATATGTGATGTTGTAGCTTCAGCTTCTAATAATAGTAAATAAGTTAGGTCAGCTAACATCAGGCTGTAGTACAATGAAAATGGTGTGGCAAAGTGTCAGTGATGCACACAAAGAACAAGTGTGATAATTAATCCTCTGTGATCCAGTGACAACAAACACTGTGGTGACACCACAGCCTTGTATGACAAAGTGGCCCAAAGCGAGTATATAGCAGTAAAATGAAAAAGAACATTAGAGTGCCAAGTTGATGACACAAACAGCGTACACAAGTATTCCTGCCATTATCTCCAGACCAGTCTTTCCTTACCTTGTGATCCTCTGTTACTGGAGATAAGCATGGAGAATGTATCTGTGCACCCATCCATTTGTTGTTACTACATGTATTAGTGTACTGCTGGATGGCCTGCTCTATGTGGACATTGATAAGATAACGAATTTGGCAATGAAGCATCAATCTTGAGATGTTCATACTCTACATTCTCTACCTCTATGCAAAGAGATGTTTCATTACCATGTTCACAAAAACCTGTCATTTTATCCTGCACTAAGCCAGTTCAACAAAGTGTTTCCCAAAGATTCATTTTGATATTATCCTCCTACCACAGCCCAGTTTCTAACTCACCCAGTGGTCTCTCTCCTTGGAGATCCATGACCAAATATTTGTATGCATTTATCATTTCCACCTGCATACTACATCTCACACAACCCCTTATTTAATAATTCCAATAATACCAGGTGCTGAGAAGAAGTGACATTCCTCATTAGACAAGATTCCCATTCTTGTGTTACCTTCAAATTCTCAATTTGTTTCATGTGCAAAGTAATGCACCTTATAATATGTAAAAGCAACACTAACCCCACATATCATATGATTTACCAAAGCATCAGAAAGTTAGTTAACTCTTGAATAGATGTGACTAGGTGACAGGAATAAAACATAAGCATGAAAACCAAGAATGATAATTTCACATGGAAGTATTATGAAGCATTTAAGCAAGTAATATGAATCTCCTGTCAGTCATGATATAATAAAGGTCAGGAGTCTCCACACATTCTTGACATCAGCATTAAATTGAGGTGAATAATCAGCTTCATGCTATGATCACTTTACCCCAAATACCAACAGGAAGCTGGGTGGAACGTATTGCCAGTGTTGTAAAAAAGAAATCCCTGTCTCTGTGGCAGACCAAACCCCAGCTGTTACATCCACAGTAACTATACTGAGATATGCCAACTGACTCTGGTAGCACGAGAACTGAAAACTGTTTATTTCACATGCTAAACCTAAAGCGTGAAACTATGTACAGAGAGGGGCGAAGCTTTCCCAACATGACCAGCTCAATCCACACCCCTGTGCCACTCCAGTATATTTGAGACACATACTTGAACCCAAGTGGCACCATTAGTGCAGTCTGCATGCTGAGCACATAAGCATTTCATACACGTTGGACTTCAATATCTTTGTACAGCACCTGCTTCATGCTTGTTCACTTCAGTTTTAAGGTTGCCAACTCTAAACAAGCCCCTAATATGCACAAATTTTAATTACAATCAGCGTTATTATGAAACAAGTACACACCTATGAACAAAACAAAGTTACAGAAAATTAATTTGAATTTTCCTCACTGAGAATACTTGTTAAAATTCTTATTAATTCAAATCTAACTGTATTCACTAAACTATAAGTTAAATTTCAAACCAACAACAATAACAGCACCAAATGAAGAAAGTGCTTGTGGTCTAATTCAAGGCATTATATCAGGACTGTTGCAAACCATGAAAATTTCAGTCTTCATAAATAGGACAAGATTTGAAGCAGAAATCTAGACACTGAGCTGCAATATTCAGTACATATAGATCAGACAGATCATTTTTGTTCTAAATGGTCCCCCTCCCACCTTTCTTCAGTCTACTGTCAGGAAACACAAAAATCAATTCACCATTAAATATTTTATGTACTATAGCCCAGGCCCCAGTACTCAGCAACAGATATGCTTTCATATGACTCACTGTTCCTTGGTAAACTTCTACCAGACTACAGGGCACAACAACCCAGAAGACAGCCATCTTCAGACATTCTGTTTTAATGGCATAGGAATGTTTGTCACTAAAAAATCAAAATTTGACAGTTGGCAACCTTGTCTTGTTCAACAATATTATAAGTACTATTTTGGATTAGTTAGATATATTTTAAAGAAACATATCTCAGGTCTCATAAATTGTATAGATACAATTAATTAATAAGTTATGGATATGCAGATAATTTTTAGCCTATATGTTATTCAAAATGTAGTTCTGTGTGAAATGTGCTTTTAGCAGAACTGCACATCATGAACACAGGAAATTGCAACATGAAACACACCAATAACGTTTCAATAAAGGCATATTTTCTCTTCTACCATTTTTACTTCAAATATGTGAGAGGAGAATTTACCAAAATAAGACTCCTGAAACAAATACAAAAAGTGCATGACAACAGCTATAGAAGGTAAAACAAAGAGGCACCAATTAACTGATCCTCTGTAAATGTCAGCTACAGAAACTAATGCCACAATGGTCCCGTCTAGTAATTACTACTAGAGTTACAGAGTTTCTTGTACACATGATGTCCAACATGCATCGAACCCTTAATTAAGTAGCAATAAGCAAAGCTGAGACATGCCTTTTGTGCCAAAGCATCATCCCTTACTCTGGCTAGTGGGAGCTCATCATCATCTTGCTGCTGGCAGCTGGGTGGC